GGGCTCCAAAAATTGTCAGGCAAAATGAATCTCCTGTTTGCAGTCACCAGGAGCTTTAAATACTGTGCTTTGATCCTTATCAGCTTTTTTGGCTGGTAGAAGTGTCTCAGCGACAGAAATCTGTTAGTGAAGCAGAATCTTCTGTTACCGTGGGGTCATTTATCTGCAGGCTCTTCAGCATTTTCTGTACCGTAGGAGCACCTAATTATCACTTGGTGCTGTGTAAACACAACATGATGATGCTCCCTCTCCTGAGTCTAACTTGAAAAAGGCCCTGATAGAGCAAAGCAAACTAAGTGGGGGATCGCCTGGTAATCTGGTTAGGAAGAAGCCTGGGGCCAAGCTCACCGGCTGCCTGCACACCAGCGAAGATCTTAATAAAATCACAGCAGAGATTTCAAGGAGTCCAAAGAGCATTGTATCTGAAAATAAGGTTTAACCCAAGGAGTCGTTTCCACCTTGGGCTGTCCTGCTTGACAGGTCAGGAAAACAGGTTGGTCTCTGCTCAACTTCATGGCAGCAAGTTCTGCTGTAGGTGTTGAGCCTCCCCCTCCCTACCCATCCCTATGTGCCTCCTTCCATTCCCAAGGATGCAGAGTCCTGGGACCTTCCTATCCCCTTAAGACACAAACCCACGTAGTTTTGCATGCAAGGCCCATTTTCCCAAGGTAATTAAAGTAACTTCATTAGCGCTGCGATGTCCTGGGACCTTCTCCCACCGTTGCTGCCCCAAAGCCCTTACCCAAGCTCCAGTTTCTGTGCCCCGGCTGGTGGAGTGGTGGGGATGGGCTGATGGCACCAGAGCTGGCCTGTGCTCTGCAGTCTGTCCTTGCATGCCACAGCTCAGTGCCACCCTTGCTGCCTGCACTGATACCTCCCCACTCCCTTCCCAGCGTTCTTGTTCCAGTGTGTCTCATTTTAAGCCCCTTTTTGGCAATGTTCTGTACTGCATCTGGGTAAACATTTTATGTAATTGCCTTCTGCAAACACCTTAGAGCAGAAAGGCAGACGAGGGATCGCACAGACCCCCAGCAGCTCCTTCTCTTACCTGCCTCCCTTCAGCCCCTCCATGTTCATGCGAGATGACATGAGAAAAATCAGAGATGGTCAAGCAACTTTGGCTTCATGGGGTCATGGTCCTTCCCAGCATCTCTGCAGCTCATTGCTGGACCTCAAAGCTCCCAAATCAGAAGAAGCTGGAAGAGAGTTGCGGTCTTGGTAATGGTCTCTCCAAAGTGTCACTGGAGACGAGGGGAGCAATCTGCTCTCTGCCTTTGCTGGCCAGATCAAAGGTGAATGGGCTTAACGTATAGCCAAAAGGATGGGAGTTAACTATTGGGAAAGCCTTCTAACAGCAAGGATTGTTGGGGCAGGAATGGGAGATGGCCACCATCCCTCCCACTCTGTGTTCTTCCATCCAAGTGCAAAAGCCAGGCTGGTGACGAGGACAAGCTGTCACTCGCTCACGGGCACAACCAGACAGTGCCAGCACTACCGCCGCACCAAATCTGAGGTTTTCCAAGCTGAAAAGAAGATCTAAACATGCCATTTCTTTGGTATTTGAAGAAGACTTAAGGTTAGGCTAATCTATAGATGGCTTTGACAAGTATAAATATCATTTAAGAGTATGATTTTAAAAAATCAATGTAATTATATTGCTATTGTCTTTCATACGGTCACATTTAGATCAGTATGAAGCAGCTTCACAGTGCTCCAGATTGTTTTTCCCCTCCTGAAGTAGCCATAGCAATGCCAAGCACCTTCATACACAGGAGTTTCTGCAACTGCCACCAAATCACTGTCGTTAAATCAGTGCAGCTTCAGCGTGCACACAAGCCTAACTATCACACGCGCCTTTCAAAACCTCCTCCCAGCACATTGAGTCAGCTACACTCTTCCCAAAAAAATGCTGGAGTGTTTTACTGCCACTAATTTCCGAGGGTTTGAACCCCTTGCTGCACACCTAGTAAAATTATTTGGGGATCTGAGACTGTAATTGATTTTTTTAATCTGCGCCATAAGTATTTTTGAAAATCCCTCCACATAGGAACAATGGCTTTTAGAAAGAGGTCACACAATCAAATTGCTTTGAACTCTAATAACATTTAAGCCTCTAAACTCTTTAGGCTTATTTTAAAATCCATCCATGAAGTTTAGATTATTTTAACCTAAGAAGAACGGGAAGTAAGCTACTGAAAAACGCACCTCTCCTAGGCCTACAGTACTGAGCATGTGTATTAGGAGAGAAAAGCAAAAGTAGCTATAAATAAAAAAGAAAGTGACCTACAAAGTTTGATTTTTTTAAAAGCAGAAAAATCAATAATAATGAGAAACTAATTAGATGTATTAAAATTCTTCTGGTTTCAATAATCCAGTGTGCCATTAGGCACTGATCAAGCTTAGGCTCACATGCCATCCAACATTTAGATTTTAGAACATTTTTTTTAAGAGAAAAAAAAACCCCAAAAACTTTATAAATCATCCTATCAACGCCAAGTGCCAAATTCATCTTAAGGAAGAAATTTTTGCAGTGAGGCTGGTGGAACACTGGCACAGGTTGCCCAGAGAGGTGGGAAATGCCACACCCCTGGAAACATTTAAGGTCAGGTTGGATGGGGCTCTGAGCAACCTGATCCGGCTGGAGATGTCCCTGCTTACTGCAGGGGGGAGTGTGGGCTAGATGGGCTCTGAAGGTCCCTTCCCACCCAAAGCATTCTCCAATTCTGTGATCTTCGAGCAGACACATCTCCTTCACCCCCCATCTGCAGCACTGCGAAGATGCCCTTGGCCATCAGGTCTCTCTCCAGGGGTTTCTGTGGCTTTGCACGGCGCCTTGCCCAGCCCAGCCCCACAAACAGGGCACCACAGCCCTGGGGCACAGAAACCACCCGCAGCTTTGGTGCAGGGGTGCTGAGCACAAGCGTTGCCCCCAAAGCCTTCAAAAATCAGGTTTTTTCCCACAGATGGTGACATACTTTGGCACCGGCGTGCGGAGCCCAATTCAGAAAGGCAGCTGAACGCGAGACCTCCCTCTAACCCACTGCAGCGGCAGCTTCCAGCCAAACCTGAACTGTGGGAAGGCTCTGCGTTTCAGCTGGACACACCTGGAAAATTTCAGAGAAATGGGTTTTTCTTTACCAGTACAGTTTGGCAAGACAAAAACCGTCCCCTCTGCTGCTACGATTCGCATCGCTGCGATTTCTGGAGAGGCAAGGACCGGGCTGCCGCATCCACGTTGTAGTTGGTGCTGATTTCGTGCCATGGGGAGTTTAATCAATTCCTAAGGAAATGCTGCCACCCAATAATTTACACAGTTCAAAGGAATATAAGCACCAATGTGCCACGAGGATCAGGGTATGAGATCCTCTACATGGTATTCGGGGTGGTCTTTGGGCTGCAGCACTAAACAGTTAAATTTCCAGCAATGATTTGGCCGTGCCTGCCCTGCCCGGAGTGACTTTAACGCTGACCCTCAGCCTCCTCGGTTCTCCCACGTGCACACTAGCATGCACAATGTTAGGTCTCCAGGTGGGGGGAGAGGGGGGGGAAATTGCCCATTTTCTTAACCATTAAAAAAATTCTTGTTCGTATAGAACGGTTTCTGGGTTTTCTCTCCTCCCTCCCCTTTGCTTGGTGATACTGTCATCCTCCCTTTGGTGCTATTCCAGTACGAAACAGACTGATTTTAATTTAATTTAAGAATGAAAAAGCACACATTTAATAAAGTTTACGGGTACTGAGAGGCTGTGCTCGCTTTTTGCTGGCGGCAGCAACCTGGAAAGAGGGGGCAGGGTTATGAAAAAAGGGGGAAGCAAAGAAATACCCACTTGCGCTGACGGTAGTCTCCTAAACCTAATGCGCTCCACGGCGGCTG